CAATGCAGCTTTCCACCATTATTCTTCACCTCCCTGTGGCCACTTATCCCATGCTGCTGCTTGTTCAGCCAAAAAATAACCTCCCACCAAAATGCTCCAGCATCTGATTCATTGGTTCTTCAGCATGTCCTGCCATCTGTGCCTTTTCTCAGCTCTCACACCCAATAGTACCACATTTGGGGAAGGAAATGGAGTAGAGGAGTTCACTTCCAGAGGGGTGGATCTCCTCCAGTTCCCACCAGCTCCACCACAGAGGGGCTGGAGATGCTTTTGAAACCTGCATCTTGCATTACTATCAAGTAGTCAAGGCTGCAAACAGCTCGTTTTCCAGGTCAGGGAGCCTAATGCCTGGGGGAGATTTGGGAAGTTCAGAAACAGGAACTTCCCAAGAAGGAGGCAGTGTTCATTATTATGAACTCATTATTATGAACTCATTATTATGAATTCATTATTATAATAAAAATGAATGAATTCATGATTATCATAGTAATGAATGAATTCATTATTATGAATTCTAATTGTGCAGCAAAAAATCCCTGTTTTCTGGGCATGGTGACATCTGCCCAAGGTTCATTCCTGAGTGGCTGATCTGGGAATACAGCACCTTCAAAGGCAGCTGTGGTGGAGAGCATGTGCCATCTCAGTGGTGTTGGTGTAGCACAGAGGAACCCAGGTTGGAGCAGGCTGCAGGTTCTGAAGCACAGGCAATGAGTTACCACCAAGTTGTCTCTGCTTTAATACAGTGCTGGGGATGGGCAGATGGGGTGTTCAATGCTCTTGGTTGCTCCTGAGTTGGCAGGATGGGATTGCTCCTTGTTCCTGGGCATTTACCCCCACCTTTTCCTCTCCCCACAGCTCATAGTCCAGCTTGTGGATGTTTCTGATCCCAGTCTCACAGGCTGGGCTCTGTCTCATCCAAGCAGCTCCATGTGCACGGAGCCCCATGAATCACATCTGCAGGAGTGGATGAAGCCAAGGGCTTTTTTGGCTTTCTCCTTTTTCCCTCTCTGCCCCCATCACTGCACCCAGGGTGTTTTTCAGCTGTGATTACATGCTTATATAAACATCTCAGCTGGCATCTTCCTCTGTCCTTGGAGACGCTGCCTGGCTCCAACCTGGGGCGGGCAATGGATGCCCCCAAGGGTGCTCACTCCATCCTCATCCTCAGCTGACAGAAAAGACCTTATGGGACAAAAAGGACCTTATGGTGACAGGGGGCATCCAACTGGTTCAGCTTTTCATAAATATGAGCTTTGGGGTTTGGCTTGGTTCTGCTTGATGATGCTTCAGGTTTGTCCTTGTGCCTTGCCTGCGCAGGGCTTGCCTCTCCGCTCTTAATGGGCTCCTAAGGTTTAGTGGCAGGAGCAAGGCAGATAATTGTTTTCCTTTTCTTATTAATAGATATAAAACGTCTGCCCAGGGGGCTCACTTTCAGCTAATTTGCTGTGCATCTGATGCCAGATGTTGGCTATTTACATACCAAGGTGATCTCTGATGCTAAAATTGTCGCAGGCAGACAGGACTTGCTCTTTGGTTTTGTGCTTTAAGGAAGTTTATGGTGTTAATAGAGCTTTTTGTGATGGTTTTGCAGGGGAAATCTGGAAGGACTGTTTCCCTTTGACAGCAGGTCAAAAGGGAAATTCTGGGTCATTTTCACAAGAATGTGAAAGGAGTGATGGGCAAGAGCTAATCCTTCCTTTGCTCTTTTACACCCAGCGCTACCTGGAGTTTATATCCAATGCTGCCTCTGTTTTAAATCCAATGCTGTATGCATCTGGGGGACGGGCATGATGAAAACATCACTTTAAAGGAAGATTTCTTGCTCCTCTGCTCTCCCCTCGGTCAGGAGGCACGCTGCCATCCCTGCTGCGCTCCGACAGCCCCGTCTGCCTGTCTCCAGAGAGCAGCATTACGCAAGTGCAGGCTGGTAAATCAGCTGCAGGCTCCCTTCTGCAGTCCCTCCCCGGGCTGTATTTCCTCCAGCCTTTAGTCGGGTCCCTGAAGGATTTGTACATCTCTGCCTGTGTTAGGGCAGACCGAAGGTGATGCTGCTGCTTTGCAGGTGGCTGCTCTGGGAGGTGCAAGATTAAGGGCCTTTGGATGCAAACAGTAGCCAGTAGGCACCAGAGATACCCATCTGCAGCTGGACTCATCACTAAGGTTGCCCATAACAGAGTTAACCCCGTAATGGATGAGGAGGGAGGGTTTGGTTTGCATTAAGGGGCGAAAGCAAGCGAGCTGAAGTCCAAGTGGGTATGTAGGTCAAGGAATTGCAAGGGAATAGGGCTGAGGCTGGGGCTGCTGAGTATCTCTGCTCCTGCAGGGTGCCCCATTGGCAGCGCCATCATCAGCAGTGCTTGTGCTGATTCACCCTGGCAGCGCAGCAGCAGTGGGCAGGGCACAGAGGTTCTGCTGAGCCTCAGAGCTGGGTGAGGGCACTGGGACAACCAGTACCTTAGGGGCTGGGGCAGGGCAGGCTGCTGGGGCTGCTCCATAAATCAGTTGTTTCATGGAACTGGGTGGAAGGAACAGAAAGTGCAAGGGGAATAGGCAGAGAAAGCACCAAACAGAAGGATCTTGGGGAGTTTTCATTTAAACAGCAGATTAACCCCAGTTTTAATGCTGTCATGCCTTGAGATCTTGAATATGAGCAAAGGAGGCTTTCTGCTTTCTGTGCATCATTTGATGAAAACCAAACCTAGCAGTACTGAAGGCCCAGTTTAGTCATCTGCTGAACAAAAGGACCATTAAAGCAGCTCTTTGGCATGTTCTCCATGCCCTGAACACCTCCATGCACACAGGCCTGCATCCCTCAGGTTGCCCTGACATCCCCTTTGCCCATAAAATAATCTTGTAAGTGCAAAATACTGACAGATATTGGTAAACACCACCCATCAGTAAAGCACAATACATCTGTGCTACTGATGTGCAGGCAGATTTGACGGGGAATGGTGTGTAGCAGGGGTATTGTACACCATGGAGGAGACACTGGGTACTTTGGGGTACTTCCTGAGCCCTGGCTGAGCTCCTCAGCAATGCAATAAGCTGCTGACTTCAGCAGAAGCAGCTTCTTCTCTTGGCAGCACTGGTGCATCACCTTATCTGAAATGAATGCATGTGCCTGGGCTCCTGAGTTTGCATTCCAAGGCGTCAGTTCTCACCCAGTTCTTGTCCAGGTGAGAGGGGACCAATGAGCAATGCAGCTGGTGAGCTGAAGCACTTTGCTGCATCGAGGCTGTGGAAGGGGTCACCTTGCTGGGTGAGGAGCTGGGCTCAGGGTGATTTAGGAAGCATCAGCAGAGCTGCATGGCTGCCTGGACACAGCAATACTGCTGGTTAGCTTCAGCACTTTGTTACCATCAGTGCTGACAGCACTCAGCTTTAACAGGAAACCCCCAAGAGTGGCTGCTCCAGCCTGCGTTTGAAATTCCTCCCTCCCATTCCCCTCCCATCCAGCCCCTTAATAACATCAGCACCCATCAAATACAGAGATCCACTGTGTGCCAGGGTCCCCCTCCATTGGCTGTGGACCTCCCCCTTCTCTCTGCCCATCACATCAGGCAGGCTCAGTGTCCTGTCTATCCTTGCCCTCCTAAGCCCATTGCTACTGCTACAGGGCTGGTGTTGTATCTGCAGACTCAAACCTTGATTCAGACACCACCTATAAACCTTTCCTTCATGTCCACCTTCTGCTTCTCATTGTGGTTAACTTAAGAGTCCCACTGTGGCCTGTGCTGCCATTGACACTATAAAGGAGCTGGTACCCAGACCTTTTCTCCTGCTCCATCTCCCCTCCACAGCTCTGAGAGCCCAGGAGTGGCTCGGGCAGGACCTGGGTTACAGGAGGTTCAAGGAGTTCCTGCTGTCCCCCTTCCCCATGCAAGATACCCTGCAGATGAGAATAGCCCTTCTATAAGGGGAGAATTTGGCCAGGATAAACCCCATCTCCACCCCAAAGCAGTGCTGGAGGCTGGCTGTGCAGGGGTGGCACGCAGCGGGAGGCAGGCAAGCAGAGCTGCCGTGACAGCTCCTGCCAGGAGGAGCTGCCTGCCTCCAATGTGCCACCTCATTTCCCATCCCCTGCCACCGCCGCACTCCCATCCATCCTCCTGAAACCTTGTCAGCTCTCAAGGAACAGTCTTTATCAGGGGAGAGGAAGCAGGCGACTGGCCGCTCGCATTCCTGCTGAAGGAGCAGGCTGTGCTCACGATGCTCTATATTTCCTTGTCATCGCTGTGAGGAGCTGAAATCAGCACTCTGGCTAATTAGGAGGGCTGGGGAAAAGCAGATGAGTGGATTAAAGGAAACTAAAATCAATGCTAGGAAATAGAAACGACAGTACCAGTTGGCTGGGGCAAAGGAGGTGGGATGAAGAGAAGGATGATGAAGACAAGTGCTGATGAGTTTGGCTCCCAGAGCAGTTAGAGAAGAAAGGTGATTTAGTGTCAAGATATGTAGCTGCAGGGATGATCCCTCTGCTGCCACAAGCCTGGATTTGCTTAGGCTGGGGGATGTGTTACCCCCAAACCATGTTTGTGCAGGGAAAGGGGTGCATGGGGTGACTTGAAGGGAGAAAGCCCCAGGAAGAGGGAGGAGAGTATAAGCAAGAAATGGCTTGTGGGTGTTCAACACCTCAGCTAAGGGAGAGGGAGGACAGGAACAGGGACACCCAGTCTGGTGGTTTCAGGGCCCAAAGAGTGTTAATTTTAGCTTCACCAGTTGCTCTTTCCCTCCCCAGGCAGATCACTTGCCTCTTCAGTTTGGGTTTCTCCCAAAAGAGATGGTGCTAATGGTACTTGCCTTCTCCATGGCAGGGTTGATTAACTTTTGGGTGGTGACCAGAGGATGGGGAGGCTGCCTGCAGCTGACCCATGGACACATGGGTGGAAATGAACCCAAATCTCTACCTAAAAACAGTGACCATCCTTGAATGTTCTGCCTTGAAACTTGCCTTTGACTCTGCTCCATCTCTGACCTTTCTCTCGTCTCTTATTCTATAGCCCTGCTCCTGGACATCATGATTGTGGCTGGTCTGCAGAAGCTGGCCAAGCGGAAGGGTCCGTACGACGTCACCCCTGGCTTGTTGGACTACCTGACCATGGACACCTATGCATTCCCAGCCGGGCACGCCAGCCGGGTGGCCATGCTCTCCAAGTTCTTCCTCAACCACCTGGTCTTGGCCATCCCTCTCCGGATCCTGCTGGTCCTCTGGGCCTTTTGTGTGGGCTTTTCCCGTGTCATGATTGGACGGCACCACATCACAGATGTCCTGTCTGGCTTTGTTTTCGGCTACTTACAGTTCAGGCTGGTGGAGTTGATATGGATGTCTTCCAACACGTGTCAGATGTTGATATCCATCTGGTGAACACGGGGACTTGACGGCCTTTCCACTGGAAACAAGTAGATACTTGAAGAGTCTCCCTCCCAGTGTTTTCTACATGTTGTTTGTTGGAAGCAGTTGTAGCTTCCATGAGTAGTGGTGTTTTTTAATGTTGCTTCCCCACTTGAAAAGAGTTTCTTGCAATGGATTGGGTTTTAGCAATCAAAGGCCGTACCTTTGGCCCTATTCTGAAGCTGTGTTTGGACAGCAGCCTAATTTAGCTTTACAGGTGAGAGAAACGAGCTACGTGGCTGCCTATGGGTGGTTGACATCAGCACCTTGATGTGTCCTCAGGGGAGGCAGCGCCTGAGAGTTTCCTGAGAACACGTTCGTTCACTTTTTTGATGCTAAACCATTTTGGCCACAGTGCTTTTTCCTTTTGTAAGGCGAGGAGTGTGTCTTGTACAGAGTCAGGACACTGCTGGCACTTCACAGATAATAAATAATCAGAGAAATCCTGCCCTGTTTGGTTCTTATCATGAGGGAAGGGACAAAAGCCAGCTCAGTGCAGCTTTGAGATACGCGTTCAACTTGGAGCAGGTCTTGACTGAAGGGATGCAAATGATCACTTCAATGGTTTGCTTTGCACAGGGTGGACCTCGATGGGTGCTCAGGATGCTGAAGGTGGCGTATTGAAACCAGCCTTTCACCTGCTGTTCAGAAGTCTGCTCTGTGAGGGTTGTGGGGAAGGGTTGGTCTGGTAAAGGGCAAATGCAAGTTGTCTGTTTTCATCCTAGTCAGGGAGTAATTGAATGGGCATTGTGCTGAGTCGTGGTGATTGTGCAAAGCAGGTCTAGATACAAAGCGGAGTCTTCGTGGCTATGATTTTATAATGATGCCAAATGATGGGAATTTTCAAGGTAAGTCTTGTACAGCATTGACTGTTTTCTGGTACACCCAGCAATGCTGGTGAGCTAGAGGGAGGAAGCCAGAACTGCTCATACCCCTGTCTCTACTTGCTTAGCTGTAACCTCATTACAGAGGTAAATGTTCCTGTGTCTTACCCTGTATGAAATGAGGAGACCACTCCTGACCTTCCTTATTGCAAGGCTGAACTAACTGATGTCTGTGAACTGGTCTGAGATTACTGAATACAAAGTTTGATACCCAGACACTATTCTGCTGCTTCCCATTACTGACAATCAGCCACCTTGAAGCCTGGTGACAGCCATGCTCAGTGTGGTGTCTCTGAACTGGATCACCCATCACAACTGTCTAAGAAAACCCCATAGTTTGCACAGAACCCTCCAGTTCTCTGTGGTTTCTCTGCCTTAAGAAGAGTTTGATGTTTGGCACGTGATGGACACTACAGCACCTGGATGCATCCTGCAGAATGCAAGGATCCCATCATCCCTGTCCTCCTGTCTATCCCAAGTGAGCAAAATACACCCAGCAAGGCCAGGGAACAATCTTGCGCTCTCATCTATCCATGTGTATCCATCTGGGGAGCCTCTTCCTACAGGAGCTGCTGGTGAGAAGGAGACATTCAGATAATGACTGTGGCACGCTGCTGACGATCCTTGCTCTTTGATAATTAACATGAAAAGAAGCTAAACAGAAAATCTATCCCTGGCATGTGTCTCCAGCTGGGACGTAAGCGCAGCGCCCTGGGAGTCACTGAGCTCCGGCAGCAGCGTGGGGAGGAGAACCACCGTGTCCTTCAGAGACCAGCCTCCCATGGAGCTCCCTGGGGAGGCCTGTGCGAGGGTCCCATGGGAAGGGCTGTCACTGAGTGTGCTCAGGAAAGGGGAGAGCTCTGGGCCTTGCTGGTTGTCTCTGGAGGCTGCGGGTCAGTGCAGCAGCAGGCAGAGCAGTGGGGGGTGATCGGTGATGCCCCAATCCCCTGCTGCTTCTTGTTTAAATGGGGTGGGAGCAGAGACATGGTGCTGTGCTTGGCCTCCATCAGGTGTTTTCTTTGCCAGCCTCCTTCTCCTGCAAAAACATATGTGAAGAAGTGAGCTATGGTTCTTTTTCTTTCTTCCAGACTTGTCAGCGTTTATCCTCACCCCTAGGAAGAATGGAGCATGTTACTGCAGCTCCGATGGTGTGTGTATGCACCTATGGGTAGCTGGAGATGGTGGGTACCTAAAGAGGCAGGGGAACACTTTGTCCGGATTGCTTTGTGGGAAGCTCTCACTTTGTGATTCTAGGTTTTATATTGAACCTTTGCAGATAGGCTGGATGCATCTATGGCCATGTCTCTGGGTCCAGGTTTCCTTGCATTTGCATTGTCTTGTATTGTACCCAGAATGGCTTTGAAGGAGATACCCCTGGTCTTTGCTGGTGTGATCAGGAGATTGTGGCCTGGAGAAGCTGCTGTTGTAGGTAACTTTGGTCTCATCCCAGCACGTAGCTGCAAAGCAAAGCAGGACAGCTGGTAGAGGTGAGTTGGGGTAAACTGGGGTTCACAGGACAGGGCTCGCTCCCACACAGGGTTTCTGTGGGGAACCTTCCTCCTTGGCACCCCTGCAGCCTGTACCCCTCGTACTCCCTGGTACTTCAGTCCCCAGAATGGGGGAGCCCCAGTGCTTTTGTGCTCACTGCAGAGAGGGTTTGGGGTGAGCCCTTACAAGATGAGTGTAGATCTGGGCACAGAGGCACCAGGAAAGGCCCAGGAGAGCCTTGCCTTGGCCATGCCCATCCCTCCCAACAAGGCAAGTGGCACAGCACCACATGGCATCTCTCATCTCTCTCTCCCAGCTGCCTGCCATGCCAAAGGTACTGCTCAGAAACAACCAGCATCGCTGCAGTGAAAGCCAGCTTCTGTCTCTATAGCAACAGTGAGGGATGGTGGGTACCACTGTGGGGCTGCATGGCCAGTACCCGTGTTCCTACAGTCCCTATCACCCAACAGGCTGGGGCTGTTATCTATTACCTCCTGTGGGGAGGCAGAAGACCGCCAGCCTGGCCTCCCTGGGGACACAGCCGGGGAGCAGTGACAGGATAACATAGTTCTTCCATCAAAAAGGTACAATCTGGAGCATCTGTCCTCAGCTTTCAGTCCCAGTAACACTACCTCAGGCTGTGGTGAGGATCTGAGAAGCAGCGTGGGGAGGGATTCAGCTCCCTGCACTGCTCTCACAGACATCTGAGGCCAGATCCTGAGTGTTTTGGCTCAGAAGCAAGGAGGGCACAGCAGCATGAGGGAAAGGACAATCCCTTTGTTCGAAGGGCTTTGCGCTTTACATCTGTGCAGATGCCATCTGCTTTTCAGCCCTCAGTTGCTGCTTGTGAGGAAGAGGATGGATGCAGCAGCCTGTCATTAAAGCCCTGCAGTCTGAGGAGCATCTTCTCCTCGCTTTGAGGGTGTTACAGGGATGTGGATGGGTGTCAGCCTCAACAGCACTACTGGATCTGTGCTCTCCACTGGCCTCAGATTTAGCAGGGGCTGTAACGAACCTCAGTGGGGAGGCAAAAAGCCAAATGGTTTGAGCTCCTTCAGGATGGCCCAGGAATGTGTTTTCCCTGAACATTCAGATCCTCAAATTCACCCACACAGGGCTCAGGGAGGAGTGGTCCTTCCCAAGCCAGGACCACTCCATCCCAGCAGGAATGAACAAGCCCTGATCGTGGCATCTTCTGCCTAGCAGTTAATTTAACAGATGCATTAAGACAATTCCTCAGAGGAGGCAAGTGCAGCACATGGATTTGGGTACCACGCAGCCAGGAAAGCGGTGGTGGTTTAGTCTGTGATTCTGCTGCGTGCAGCGAAAGGCCCCTCCTTCCCTCACCCTAATGCTGGTGATGCTCAGCAGCAAAAAGAGATTTTAATTTATCAAAAAATATAAAAGAGAGTGCCAGGGCGAGAAGCAAATCTGGATTATATCTTTGGACACATGTGGGAATCACAGCCTGGGTGCTTAGATCCCCCCCTTCCCGACCTTAGCTGGTGTTTTATTCCCACAAGCTGTTTTGTACATTTGTGGCTGGGGCTGTGCTGGAATGAAGGTGAGACAAATCCCTTCCCATACCAGGGATGAGCTGTCCCCCCTGCCATAGGGCTGCCCATGGGGTCCTTTCTGCTGTCCCCCAAGAAGAGGTGACTCAAGCCCCGTGTCCCCCCGAGGATGAGGCAGGTGTTGGGGAGGGAAGCTGGCTGGCACCCAGTTGGCAGATTTGAGGATCAGGAAGGCTGTTACACAAGGTGTCTCTGCAGTAGCACAGGTCTGTCTCTAGTTCACCCCATGCTGGGTTTCCTTGGGCAAAACCACTTCTTTTACTCATTTGGTGTGTTTCTGATGTGGGCGAAGGGACCCATGGGCTTAACCAGCCCCCAGCAGCACGGTGCTCATGGCACAGCCCCAACACTGCTTCTTGCAGCACCCAGGATGGCCCCATTAGCCACAAACTCCTTTCTGGGGCTCAAAAGTTTCTCCCCAGTTAGGGATAATCATCTGCATGATTTTTAGTTAAGTATTTTTATTAAAGTGATAATTAATATTGTCATTTCCAAGCTAGAAATTTAATATATTGTGCAAAGCCTAAAGAAACAGGATGGTTTCTCCTTTTCACACCCGTGTACTGTGGAGGGTGCTGTCAGAGCAGGTGATGCTGCAGATGAAAGATGCGTGAACACAGCTGATGCCTTTTATGTGTGTTTGGTCATCTGAAATAGAGACATAACCCGTTCCTGCCTTGGGACTCAGGGCTCCAGGCATAGGCATAGACACATTGGCTGCAGGGTAGGAGCAAGTGATGGTGTCACCCCAAAAGCCTCTGGCTGATGTACCTGTATCTGAATACAGGGCTTGGTTTAAGGTGATGCAGTGGACTCAGCCTCCCCAGGCGGGCAGGGATGGGGTTACTTTGTTCCCTGCTTCACTGTGACTCAGATCTCCGTGTTCGTTCCCCAGGACACAAGAGTCAAAGCGGATTAAGGGTCCCTCGGCTGATCACAGTTATTTCATTATTCGAGTGAAATCCCTTGTAAATACCACCTCCCCCCTTTTCTCTTTATAAAAATAGAAGGCAAAGAAGAATTGGAGATTTAGGAAAAGTCAATCGCAGGAGTCACTCGAAAGCCATTAACCTCCTGCAGCCTGAGCAGGGCTGTAGTGGGGAGATGCTCAATGACCCAGTGCCAGTGGTTTCCTTAGCCTCCCAAAGCAGGGTTTTCCATGGAAAATCTTAGCAGGGGAGGCGTCTCCAGCTGCGTGGTGTTACAGGCACTTTGTTCACAGCTTGGCCATGATGAACTGCTAATTGTGGTGGTGGAACAAATTGGCTCAAGCACCCAGCAGAGTCCAGCACAGTCACGTCTCTGCAGCCGGGAAGCCCTGCGGCAAATGAGCGGGCTCAGGGCCATTGGAAATGCTGATGCTCTTCCCTTTACTGTGTGGCTCCTCTGAGCCCCTCTGGAGGAAGGGAACCTGAGCACTGCACAGGGATCTCTCCCAGTTTTCCTAACAGATTTCAGGCAGGTGGAGCTGGTTTCCACTCCCCCAAACCTGCTCTGTCC